ACGTTAAGTAATAGTAATAGTATAGCTACGTCACTAACTTTTTACCTTTTACTTCGTAAGTACTCAACATCTCTCTCTAATTATCTATAACTTTACCTTCTCTAACTACTCTCTCTCTCTACCTCGTTCTACTCTCTCTCTCTCTCTCTCTCTCTCTCTCTCTCTCGCTGGCTTCCTCGGATGTATTATAATGAATCAGGGCATTTGAGTCATTTGGCTTGGATCCTCTCTTTTCCGCGTCTGCTCCACCAAAGTCCATTTTTTCCTTCCAAATATAAACTCTGATTTCGCAGAGAAGAAGGAGAAGCAATGGAGATGATTTCTCTACAGTACTCTTCTGATAACCCCCCTCTCTCTGTTTTAGTCGCCGCTTCAATTTCAGGTGTCCCTCTCTCTCCTGATCCTTGCCTTCCTGCTGGTTCCTCTCCTGTATTCGCCTTTGAATCCGGGTAAGTAGTTTGAATCTGTAAGTTTTGAATTGATTTTATGGTTTTTTTTAATCGATTTTACGGTTTCTCCAATGTTTTTTTTCTTTGTTTGGGTTCACTGTGTTGAGTTGTGGAACACTAGAAGTTTCTTAAATCTGGTTAACGTTTGATTTAGGTCATGTTTTAGAACAAATTTTATAGTTTTAGTTTCAGGTTGGAGTTATATATTTGCTTGCTTGAAGGATTCAGTGATACTGGGCTATTTTTTGTAAATGTATTTGTGCATTACTTCTCATGCATCTATAGGTGAGAAACAATTTGTGAAAAAAAAGTGTGAAAAAACAGGTGTGAAACATATTATAAAGTTCTTTTCCCTGATGATTAATGATGACATTGAGAGTTTTTGTTTTAAAGAGTTAACTGTTAATGATGAAATTGAGAGTTATTTTCATGTCAGTTTGACGATCTCACTGTTGTTCTATGTTTTAACCATAACAAATTTATAACACCTTCCTTTATGTAGAATCAATAATTGAATTGCTCTCTTTCTCTCTCCCCGTTTCTCTCTCTTTCTCCCTTTTCTTTTCTTTTGGAATTTTTTTGCTTCTTGCTGGAATTTGTGGAAATTGATTGGATGAATTACTTACAAACAAAAATGAAACGAAATTTTTAAATTATATCGATTTAAAGAGTGTAGTGCAAAACAAATTACTGAGTGAGTGCCTAGGAAGAAAAAACTGATAAAGGAAAAAATATGGTTTCATCTCCGACGACAGCTGGAATGTAATATCTGGAATCAGTGCTGGACTCTAAGATTTCACCCCAACTCTGGCTCCATGTCTCGGCACAAGTAAAAGAGCCTTTCAAATTGACTAGCAGAAGAACCATTATTGGACATGTTCACTTTTTACTTTTGTAGTTGATGAAATAGTATAAGCCCAATGGCTCAGATTCAATCCGGCCGATCTGATGGTCCGGACTATATTTCGGTAATATAATTTTAATATTTTTATATAAATCCAAATAATATGAAATTTGGAGAATCAATTCTTCTCATCAAGGTGCACTTAATAAAAATATTTTAAAAAAAAATTGTATAAAATAAATTGATCAAAATACTCCTAAAACTTTTCAAGGGTATTTTGATCAATTTATTTTATGTGAGTTATTTTTTTGATATTTTTATTAGATTCCATTATTTTTGAAGAATATACACTCCAAATTTCAAGAGATATAGATTTGTAGAAAAAAAAATTAAAATTCAATTACGACATACAACCGTGATCATTGGATCGACCCAGATTCAATATAAGCTATTGGGCTTACACTGTTCTGTCAGCCCTTGGGCTGACGGCCTTAGCTAGCCTACAAAACTCAAAGAATATATGGTATAGATGCTAAGGCTCATCCAAGTTACAACTTAAAACGGAGTTGGCATCTTGCACCAAGCTATGACACTCTCACAACCACCCAATTTCAAATTTGACAGACAATAGTAGTGTGACCTATTTGTACAAAAAGTAAATGGTCTCTTTCTATACTTTTCCTTTATATATTTTCTATGTTTTATTATGGGTAGTTCTGAACTTCTATATTCTTTTTTCTAATATATTTTGGCCTGCATTTTTCTTATTTGTATGCTATCATAGAGAATACTTTAGTTGTTGGAGACATCCAACATAACTAAATTTTTGTATTGTGCTGATTATTTCACCAGATTGAAATTGCATGGGACCGCTGTGCTTTTGCGTTTTGTTGGGCGAGCAGGGAGCCTTCCCAAATTTTATGAACGTGATGCATTTGAATCTGGACAGGTGCTTCTTCACATCTTGTACTTTTCTTTGATTTTTTTAAGGTTAATCTCTAAGTTCTATTTTGATGCGTGCATCTTTACAGCTGGGTCTACTCTGTTTCATTTTAGTGTTTTTGAAGAATTAATGCATTTAACTGAAATGCTCAAGGAGACCAAGTACTAACAGGTTTTAATTATAAAAGTTGGCATTCAGATTGATGAATGGCTCGAATATGCACCTACCCTTTCGTCTGGGGCTGAATTTGAGGTAGCATCTAGCTACATCGATGTGTTCCTCTCCCTCCGTACATTCTTGGTGGGTCACATTCTATCCATCGCCGACATTGCAATCTGGTCTGGCCTTGCAGGTAACTCTGGACTATTTTAGACATTCTTTTTGGGTGAGTAACTATTTTAGACATTTATGCATGTAATATTGCATATGTTTTCATTGAAATGGTTATCATATTTTACTGTTTCTGACATATTCAGGTTTTATTTTTCTAAGTTAAGTTTAGGTAGACGTATCAGGATATCATCCTTGTCAACTTCTGGAATGAATTGGTGAAATGCTTCTAATTTTCTTAGCAGCAGCCACCTTTTTATCTAGTTTTGCAGTGTACTTTGTGCTCTTCTAATTGCAAATCTCACTTTTGCAGGCACTGGACAAAGATGGGAAAGTTTGAGGAAATCAAATAAATATCCAAATCTCGTAAGGTGGTTTAATTCGTTAGCGATGGAATACCCTGCACTTCTAAACGAGGTTACAGAGAAATTTGTGGGTAAAAGAGGAGTAGGCAAGCCTCGAGCTATGAAACCAAAGGAAAGAGATGAGAGCTTGTCAAAAGGAGAGAGTAATGAGAAGGAAAAGGCTAGTGGTACAACGTTTGAAGTTGACCTGCCTCATGCCGAAGTAGGAAAAGTATGCCTTCGGTTCGCTCCAGAGCCAAGTGGGTACCTTCATATCGGGCATGCCAAGGCTGCACTTTTGAACAGGTATTTTGCCGAGCGATACAAAGGCAGGTTAATTGTGCGTTTTGATGATACAAATCCTTCAAAAGAAAGTAATGAGTTTGTAGAGAATTTATTGATTGATATAGCAAGTTTGGGTATCAAATGGGACGCTATCACTTACACATCTAGCTACTTTGATGAATTAATGGGGATGGCTAAAAAATTGATTGAAGAGGGGAAAGCCTATGTTGATGATACCCCACGAGAGCAAATGCAGAAAGAGAGAATGGATGGAATTGAATCAAAGTGTAGAAATAATAGTGTTGAACAGAATCTGGCATTATGGAAAGACATGATTGGTGGAACTGAGAGGGGCCTTCAATGTTGTGTTCGTGGAAAACTTGATATGCAAGCCTTGAATAAGACTCTTAGGGATCCTGTTTACTATCGATGCAACCCGGTCGCCCATCATCGTGTTGGTTCAAACTATAAGGTCTACCCAACTTATGACTTTGCATGCCCATATGTCGATAGCATTGAGGGGATAACAAATGCTCTTCGAGCAAGCGAGTATCATGATAGGAATGAGCAGTACCATAGGATTTTGGATGATATGAATTTGCGACAGGTGCACATATACGAATTCAGCCGGTTGAATCTTGTGTACACTCTCTTGAGCAAGCGTAAACTTAAATGGTTTGTAGAGAGTGGGAAAGTCGAGGGATGGGATGATCCTCGTTTCCCAACTGTGCAGGGAATAATACGTAGAGGGCTGATGGTGGATGCATTAGTGCAGTTTATTCTCTCACAGGTAAGAGCTGTTATGAAATATAAGCTCACTCACTCACTGAAAGTGCTGACTTTTCTATGTTCGTTTTTGAATTTTTTTTATTATACCCTTAATGTGAATTTCTCCTCTCTATTATTTTGTTCTTTTTCAACGATACATTGAATGAGTTAGTCCATATTCCAAGTCAGCAAATCATTATGGATTCTGTTATCTCACAAATGCAGGATTCAATGCTTGATGTAGGAAGTTGGCTAGTGGAGCCTTCCTTGTGTCTGTTTATATTTGAATTGTTTCCATGGATGGCTAGTCCAGATCACAATGGCAGCTCCCCATAAACAAGTTTTGTAACATCTCCGATTTATAGAATGGTTTGCTTTGTTTTTTCTATCGGTTTCAGTTATTGTAGTCTTTTTGCCTTTTTGTGACAAACCATTCAATATGATCCCATTTTATGTGAGGCAACAAAAATTCAACACACATGCACACATTTCCATAAAGAGTTATGTTTGATTGCCTTTGTTTTTACTTTGTTGTTTCAGGGGGCATCTAAGAATCTCAATCTCATGGAATGGGACAAGCTGTGGACCATCAACAAGAAAATCATTGACCCAGTATGCCCAAGGCATACCGCTGTCCTTGAGGAAGGACGAGTAACACTGGTTCTCTCTGATGGGCCAAGGACCCCGTTTGTGCAAATCGTACCTAGGCATAAGAAATATGATGGTGCAGGGAAAAAAGCCACCACTTACATGAAGAGGATTTTGATTGATGGTGCTGATGCATCTGCTATTTCAGAAGGGGAGGAGGTAACATTAATGGATTGGGGAAATGCCATAATCAAAGAAATTCAGAAGGATGAAAATGGGAATATTACACTTTTAACTGGAGTTCTTCACCTAGAAGGGTCTGTTAAAACAACAAAATTGAAGCTCACATGGTTGCCTGAAACACCTGAGTTGGTCAGTCTTTCGTTAGTTGAGCTGGACTACCTCATCACGAAAAAGAAGGTATGCACTAAATACCTTATTAAGGCCCAAAGTCTTTCACTTCTGGTTGTTTTTCTTTAAATTATGTATGCCCTGGTTTGGAACCTTGTATTAATTGTTTTATCCCTAGTTTAAAAGTAATGATGATTCTGGTCGAAATATTGGTTTGGACCCTTTCTGTCACAAAGATGCATGTTGGGGCTAACACATATGTATCGCCAGTTATGCTCATAGGTTTGGTTCAGTTCAAATGGAGTTTGGTAGGGCAGTGTGTGGGTTCCTTTCGTGTAAATCTGCTCATCTGAGTTCCAATTATGGGACATTATGTTTATTACTAAGAGATAATAGCAGCTGCTTTTTTGTGGATTTAGAACATTTTTCTTTCTTTAATAAGATTGATGGCACAGAATTCAAGCTGAAAGTGAAAGTTTTGCTTTTCATTTTCGACAAAATTGTGGTAAAACCAGTGATGGGTCATAAATTTTTGTCACTTACGAGTCGGTCATAAAGCAGAATTGTGCCCATTTCTGTAGCAACTGTCAAGTGATTTAATGAATTTTATCTAAAAACTGTCAAGTGATGCAATAATTTCTTCTGTTGTATTTTGTTAATCTGATTGAAATCTTCTTTTGGCATGGCACAGCTTGATGAAGATGAAGATTTTCTCGACGCTCTTAACCCTTGCACGAAGTGGGAGTTACCAGCCCTTGGTGATTCAAACATGCGCAACCTTAAACGTGGTGAGATATTGCAGCTGGAAAGGAAAGGTTATTACAGGTGTGATGTCCCTTTCCTTAAACCCTCAAAGCCCATGGTTCTAATTGCAATACCTGATGGTAGGCAGCAACCAGTACCAAGGCGGCCCTGCTAAATTTCTCACTTTTGTTTAGGGTTTCTCTTCTTTTCTTCAACATGTTCCATTAAAAGTTCGAAAACATTTGACCCGGGAATGTCTATATGATGGTTAAATTGAGGGGCATCTTTTTTTATTGTGGTTAGTTTTATAGTGGTGAGCTTGTAACAAGATATGTTGTTTGGTTATTTTGAGGAATTGGTGGTCTCGCTTTCACCGCAGAGCACTTGTTTTTGTTGAATGAGAGGTTCTTGGAGGTCACACACGACTTGATGATAACATTGGGTTGATTTTTTTTGTTTTATTTTTGCAAAACCCTATGTTTCATTGGGGCAGTTTTAATGGCAATGGAATAACAAGGGATGTTGAAGTATAAGATTATTTGATGTCTGAATTGAAGTGGCCCCGAATTTGATTTGGTTGGAGTGAAATATTGGAGGCCATGTCTTTCCTGGTGTTTCCTTCTCCAAAAGAATGCATGGTTAAACTTTATCAGATTTGTTCTTAAGGGATGTATTTTAACAAGTTTCCAAATCTTGATTAGTTTCGAAGGAAAATGGGGAAAAGAAAAACAAACCGAAGAATTGGAAATACCTAGCATATTTCGAGGTCTTTGATTATTCTAAGAAAAAGGAGAATTGACATTCGCAAATTCCTGACTCATATTTTTTTTTTTTGGTAGTTTAGTGGTAGGAGTCGAACTTGAGATGCAGTGTTGCTAATCACTAATCCGATTCCTAGTCTCTGGCTCGTTATTGATCGACAGTGTAGACTTTGGGGCGTATTTAAATCTCTCTTCCCCCCTCCCCTCCTCCTCCTCCTCCTCCTCCTCCTCGAGTCTTGGCACTGATGCAATGAAACACACAGTGTGCCAGATTGCATCCCAACCATATGTTGTCGACACCGAGTAAGATGGACCTTTTTCCCTTAAGTACTGTCAATACTACTTAAGCCGAGAAACGGTCCCTCTTAGCTCTTGGTTGTACTCTCTCTCTCAAGGTATTTAGTTTTTTTGTGTTTTTAGGCTGTTTAATTAAGTACAAATATTTTAATTTTCTGGTTGGGCAGTTTGGAGTTGGGTTCCGACAATGGAGGCAATATGGGAATAAAAGTAAAAAACCCGATAGTGTAGAACATCACCATCCCAAAATATGGGCCCTTTTAAATCTGAAAATTGTTTTAGGCCCATCTATAAATTTCCCTTTTATTCAAATTGGAACCATTGTTGGTTTTTTTTTTACTATTTATTAGGATTGTCAAGGCATAAATGGCTTTGATTTTATAATGGGAGAAGTTTATATAGGGCCGAGCCGAGGCTTTAAACAATAAAATTAGAACCCACTTCAAAATTTTCACTAGAAGAGATTGTTTTAATGTCCAAATATCATCAAATTGATCATCTCGGCATCAAGATGTATGGACATGAGAAGAAAATCGATTTGAAGTTTTGGAAATAATGCATCTTGTAATGCATTTTGAACCGTAAATTTTTAAATTTTTCAAGTTTTCATAGAAATGCTCGATCTACACTATTTTAAAAGTTAATTTTATAATTAAAGATAAAAATATATTTTAAGACGATCACAAAGATTTCCAATATTGAAACCACATTTCTTGACACTATTTTGAAAGTGAACTCCAATTTGATTGTTAAGAGCCTCGGCTCTATAGAAACTATACCTTTTTATAATAGATATAGTCAGATTCGTTTTTGAAAAAGGAAAAAGTTGAAAATGTTTATACAAGGTTGCAACTTTAAAATGTAGAATTAAAGATGCACCTCAAAAATCCACCGTTTGAATGTTGAACAACCCTTTAATTAATCATCTTGATATCCAGATGTATTAATATGAAAAGAGAAAAATATTTTTAGTCTGCAAAATAGTGTATCTTGCAACACATTATCTGGATTGTTCATTTTCAAGATTTTCATGTGGATATAGATCTACTCGATTTGAACTATTTTTAGAGTTTAAAATTTTATGATTAGAGATGAAAATAGATTCTCAAGCCATCTTAAAAAAAATTTATATCAAAATTACATTTATGATAAAAATTTAGAGGTGCGCTTTAATTGATTTGTCAAAGGTTGCAACATTACACAAATCACACCCGAAAAGAAAATTAGTGTGGCAAGGTTTTAAACCCCATTTTTCACAAGTATAAAATATGTGAGAAGTGATATAAACCCTCAAATTACTGATATTTAACCATATGTGAACCCATTTAACCTTTAAATTCCAATAAAAACACTTCAAAGTTTTCTTAAATTAATTGAACAAATCATCATAAAACGGTCACATTATCATTTGTGCTGCCATCAAATTACTTATCTTTTTATTAGAAACGAAGAATCAAACTAATGGAAGAAGTAGAACGGAATCAAAATATACACCTGGGGTATTTGATTTCTATTGGAAATAGCGTCTTCCAATAGTGTAGCACTTCCCTATTTGATAATGGGGGAAGTGCTATACCAAGTGTATACTTCGATATAAGGTTAAAAAGTGGATAACTCAAGTTTTTTAGATGACTATAGAACTCACGATATCCACTTTTTTGAAAGACACGGTTTTCAAAACCGTTTGTTCTACAGATCAAGCATGCCCTAAGGAGACCATCATATGCAAGTAATGAGTTCCCCATTGTCAATCACCTAAGATATATCCTTTTTTCACTCTTCAAACTTCACAAATATCTTGAGCCATACCTCCAGGAATGAGCTTGAAAAGCCTTGGAAAACATAAAAATATAGACAGGAAAATACCCCATATAACTACAACCTCCAAAGTTGAAGCTCAACTAGCAAAACAAGAGGATTATCCATGACTAGTAAATTGAATATTAGTAAGGCTGTGAAGATCTGCACCACAACTTTCATATAAAATACCGAGTGCTAAATCAGTTTTTGAGCAAGGGGAAATTTCATCATTTGCCAAGAGAAAAAGAAAAACAAGGAAAGCATAGCCATGTATTGGGCTAACACCATATTGGGCCTTCACAACAAATGCTTGTATTCCCTATACAAGTACCCCTTGATTGATAGGTAATATTGGTTAATATTGAACAATGAAAGTACCATGCCTAAACAATGACTTGCAACAGAGGGCTTGTACAGATTAGCTCCAACAATTCCACAAGAGCTTAACAAAAATAAGTTTGAAGCACCTACAAACACCAACCAATGGTGTCATCTCCCAAACCTCTCAAGCCGCCTTTGCCTCAACTCTTCAAGAGAAGGTTCCCTATTCCGACGTACTGGGCCTTGCCCTGTACTCACCTGTCCACCATCTCTCAGCATGTCACACATTGCGCACCTATTCAAAACGCTCGAGTTGTCAAAAGTACAAACTGAGCACCTCCAAACTTGCCCAGTTCTTGAACCTGACCCCTGCTCTCCTCCACCAACTCTTCCCCTACCAAAAGTTTGCCCCTGACGTCTACGAAAATAATCTCGAACATGCTTCACAGGCCAACCCAATATGTCAATTACCCTACGCAACATTATTGACATAGGGTCCCTTCTAGTGCCTGAACCCCTTAATCTAAGGTACAAAATCCCCGCTAGTATTCCCCCCAAATGTCCTAGAAATGAGACACCAGGCACAAAGAGTTGGATGAGAACGAGTTCAACCCACGCTGCATGGCGAGCAGGGACTACAAGGCCATGGACATAGGCAAAATCTTCTGATCGTGCATTTAAGACCACTTTCATGGCGAACAGGACACCAGAGAAGCCAACTGCATATTCATTGTAGTAAGAGGTTTCATAGTCAAAGAAGACGTCGAGGAGTTTTGCAAGGAGGAGTGTGATGCCTTGTGACATTCCCAAGAGGGAGGCAATCATGACTGCAAAATCAGTGCTCCCCATGGCCAGCTCAAGCTGAACCCCCTTCCATAAGAGAGACATCATGTTGTATACGAGGTGGGATTCACCCATGTGATAGAAGGCAGAGAGGACGAAACGCTTGATGTCTCGGTTCTGTGACAAATAAAAGATGGCCATGTGGGTTTTAAAGAATTTATGAGGTGAATCTATAGAGATAGTAATAAAAACAAGAACTCTGAAATAAAAATCGGACATTTTGTATTCATATTTTTATTGTCGTGCATAATCTGTAGGACATGTTATATAATAAGAAACTTTAGGCACCTCTCTCTCTCTCTAGCACACACACATGCGCATGTCGTGTGAAAAAACACACACTAAAATGCACGCACGCACACACAAGTATTCACTGTAGTATGCGCAAGGATATGGAGTTCTTCCACCAGCATAGGGATACAATGCTCCCATTTTCCCCCAAGCTATTATGCCTTATCCAATAAAAGAACTGGCTTCAAGATATCAATTCCTTGACTCGGTCTCGGGACTTGACCCCTTGCTGAGCCAAGTAGCTCCGGTGTATCTGTGTCAACTTGCCTGAGCCGAAAAAGAGGGTGAAAAACAATCTGAAAAATAGAAAAATACTAAAAATTCAACAAAAAAAATAAATCAGAAAATGTTATAAAAAACAAGGAATAAGAAAAGCCTTTGATGTTATTGGCTTGACAAAAAAAAAAAAATCAGAAAAAAGAAAAATTAGAAAAAGCGAAATAAATCATAAAATTAAAAAGTACATACAAATGAGTTATAAATCAACAATAAATGATTCAGTAAAAAAAAATCAATTTTATTAAATTTCAAGTCCGATCCCCCCATCATTGTGCATGGTGCATCAATGGCTCAAATCCTTCTCAAAGCTTCCTCACAAAACCCCAACCGAAACTCCCAAAGTAGTTTTGAGTTTCACGTTCAGATTAAGGAGATCTGAGCTCTTGAAAAAATTGGTGAAAATTTTCAAATTCTGATTTTTTTTGTGTTTTTGTTTAAAACAAGCCTATGGTTAGATAAAGAATACAAAAATAGGCTGAGGAATCAATTCCATTGAAGAATGACCATTGAGTGCAGACATAAAAACTTGGCCGGATTTTTCAATCTAAAAGATCTATCAAATCACTTGCTTTTTCTTAAATCTAATGTTTATAATAGATAGATGAGGCTAAAATCATACCAAGGACTCAATTTCACCACAAATCGCTAACCCTAGGGCTCAAAAAGAAAGGATTTCTGCCCCCTTTTCTAACTGAGACTTGTACAGTACTCAGGAGAGTATTGTAGCGACTTGCCAGAGTGCTGTACAAACTTGGGCGAGTCATAGCAAGTTTGTACAGTAAGGCGAGTTTGTACAGTGTTCGACCAAGTACCGTACAAGATACATATATATAGCCTATTGCGGGTCCGGCAGCTTGCCAAGCCCGCGTAACTTGCATGTGTCTGAGACAGCATGGATAAGATTTCAAAACAAACAATTCTCATCATGAGAATCTTATCATCTACATGTCAACAAACTTTGGCTATTTATAATAAAAAGTTGATCAAAAGCACCTTCATACTGTCTTTACATGCATAACTTTGGGAAAAATACCATCATTATTTTCCTACAAAAATGTTGATCAGCTTGTGTCAGATATTCAGAGAAATTTGCAAATTTAAATCACAAAGTCAATATCGCTCTAGAAGAAGACATCATAATATAAACATCATGCACGGGTACTTTTTACACAAAGGAGCAAAGTATGACAGTCAAACTGTAATAGCACATAGGATGGTATCACACTTCTAGATTTCTATGTATCCTTGTGCGGGGACCATGCTAATCTTCCCTGCATTTTTCCAACTTTATCAGATGTCTCCAAAGAGACTTAAATATTTTGTGGTGAGTGTGGGTGAAGTAGATCCTGAGCAGACTTTGATGTCATTTCCAGCTTTGAAATAGGAAAGAGAGGTGTTGACTCAGACGGACAAAGTGGCCCTAAGATTGAAATATTCATATTATTAAAGAAAGAACCAGGGAAATGAGTTGAAATCCATAACCTCAGTATCCAAGAAGCTCTCTTATGATACGAAAACATAGTGTCCAATCCAGGGTCCAGGTTATCGAAAATAGTGAAAACCCCAACATCAAATGAGGGGGGATAATGGGCAATCTCAAGTTATTGGGAAGGTGAAGCCAAAGCATATACTATGCTCATCTCACACACAGATCAATGAAGCGTGAAAACTATTCACGAACTCAAAATTCTTTTCTTTCAGATATAGATCTGACCCTAAAAGTTAAAGATGCGTATGGCAATTTATTCCATGCCCTCCAACTCAATCTCTCACAGCTAATATATATTTTTTTTAGGGAAATTATAGAATGAGACCATGTACCTTTGATACAAGGTGGTCACATTAATCTTGACCATTGGATGTGAAATTGGGTGGCTACAATTATTCCATTGACCAAACTCACACTTCAAAACAAAATTCTCGAACTTTGTGACACATCCAAAAATTTCACATCAAATGGTTTTAAGCAATTGGGACCACCTTGTCTCAAAGGTAAATGGTCCCATTGTATGCAATCCCTTTTTTTTAATCAAGCAACTGTGAGCCATTTTAAGCCTTCAAGAAAATTATGACAAACAAATTTCAGGATTATTACTACAAGCTTTTGAAATACCTTAATCTTGTCCACAGTTATATTATACAAGCATAATATCATAACCAGTTACCTCCCATTCTCAATAAGAACAATGGAGATGAACCATAGTTCTGAATCACCACCTTCCCCAAGGTAATGCAGAGAAAAGGGCAGTAGGAAGATTGAGTCATGACTCATGAAGATTAAGAAACTCCCACGAGATAATCAATGGTAAATTAGGAGACACAGGGAACAAATGTAGAACAAAATGTGTGGAAATGTCAGATAAACACAAATGAAACATGAGCTGAAGGCATAAAGGATGTATTCTGTTATCTCCATTTTCTTTACTTCACTTCATTAAAGAATTGTAGCAGCACTACACTAAAAAATTGTTCCACATCAAGAATTAAGCTAAATATATTGCCAATATTAAAGTCAATTTTAATAAAGTGAGAAAAATAAAACTCAAACAGAAAAAACAGAGCAAGAAAATAAGAAAAAAAAGAATAATTATTTCTCGACATACCCCAAATCATTATTGATAACCTATGTTCAACAAATTCACATTATTGAACCATACAACATGCACCCGAAAAAAGAAAACAAAGGCACAAAGTAAAGGAACAGATCAAAACCTATCCAATTATTATCCAGAATTGCAATAACCAGTAGCTCATCCATTTGAGAACAAACAAATAATATCACACGAAAAGCAATTCTGGGGTATAGAATTTTGGACTCACCTTGACAGTGAGATGAGGGTTGAACCATACTTGATCAATGGTCGGGAGGATGGAGTCTAGAGGACCAGGCCTAAGATAAATCAAGGTATTGGTGAGAAGAAGACCAGCAGTTACAGGAGGCTTCCTCTCAAGCCTGTAATACTCATTCACTACGTGCAAGGCTAGCAGGGGAAGCATTCCCCTGGGAACCCTTCTCCCTGGCCTGTTCATTTCCTCTTCTTATAGAGAGAGGTTCACAGGAGGATGTGGGTTTTGGCTCAGTTCAAAAACCCAGCCGAATTGAAGTTTAGGGGTCTTGCAGAGAGGGAGATTATGGAGCACACGGATGGGGATTTAGGTTTGAGAGACAGAGGAAGGCGTGTTATCGCTACCGGACGTTGCTTCGTTGATGTGTTTGAATCAGTGCTTTAAAAAGCTGGTTATTTGTGTGGAATTAGTCAGGAAACGGTATTTGCCGTGGTATGGGTCCCGGTATTATTTCCCCTTAGAATTCCCTTATATATTATTTTTCTTTTTTAAGTTTATTTAATTTTTTAATAAAAATAAAAGTTTATATAAAGTTGCAACCTTAAAATGTAGAATCACTTATGCACCTCAAAAATATATTAAAAATATTGTTTTAATGTTGAATAAACCCTCTAATCGATCATCTCGATGATCAACATTGAGATGTATGAATATGAAAGAAAAAAAGTTTTTAAGTCCCTAAAAGAGTGCATCTTGCAACACATTACTAGACCGTCAATTTTCAAGATTTTCATATATTTATAAGTCTACTTGATTTTAACCACTTTTAGAATTTAAAATTTTCTAATTAGATATGAAAATAGATTTTAAGACAATACTAAAAAAAAAATTTATAACAAAATTACATGATAAAATTTTATGGTGCACCTTAATTGGATTGTTTAAGGTTGCATCTTTATGGAAGCAGCACCCTTCTATAAATCTCTATCCCTTTAGTATCTACTTTAATTATTTATTTTATTTGTTATTTAATAATTTTTTAGGTGACCGATCCAAACTGATATGCATTGTTAGTCCGGTGCACGAACATGGACCTGAGGGTAAACGGTTCGCATTACTAATTCAAGTTTTGAAACACCGATTTAAATTTTTTAGTCTCAAAACAATATTAGTGAGTCAGATCATTCACCTACAATATGTGTTGGGTCGTTGGATTGTCGTGAATCGGTGATTCAGAAAATATTAAACAAATAGGTAAATTAAAATAAAGTTATATGGGGTGGAGATTTAAGGGACCTAATAAAACATCACATAAATATTAGAAAAAATATAAAAGTACAAATTTGTATTGGGTTATTGAATCGCCGATCTAGTTCGGCATCAATCGGTGATCTAAAAAATATTAAACAAATAAGTAAAATGAAATAAAAATTGAAATAAAGTTATTTGGGATGGAGATTTAAGGAGATCTATATAAAAGAGGTGTTTACGGGTGGAGCGGGAGTGTTTAGGGAGAACCATCAAATAAATACTAAAAATAAATAAAATTGATAGGGCTACAACCCTTATCAAAATAAATAAAGCATCACCTCAAAACTCATTAAAAATTGCCGTTGGTGTCAAAAAAAACCTTTAAATTGCTATTGATGGGAATCAATGAACTAGTTATTGGATGAGATGAGCCTAGGATTTATAAAAACAAAGAAAAGCCTCACTTTAAATCCTCGTCAGAAAAGCAGTTGAACCTCAGAATTTTCATGATGGCTCTAAAATCAATTTTCAACACCAATTATAAAATTTGAAGCTAAAAAAATAATACAAGTCTTGCAGATTTATGAACACTTATTTTTAGGGTGAAATAGACACTTTAGATAAGATATTATAATATACACTATTATTAAAGTTTGAGATTTAAAACACTCACTTAAAACTTCAAGGTAATAAATGAAGAAAAGAGGAAAAAGAAATAAGAGAGCGAAAGAGATGTTGGCTTGGAGTTGGAGGCTGCTTTTTTTTTTTGGGTCCGACAGATGTTATGGCTTGGACATGGTGAGAAAAAAGTATGTGTAGGGTAGGAATATGTAATTTGCTTAAGGCACAAGGTATTCCACTAATCTATTTCCCACTATCTTCTCATGAAATCTTTTCCATTTAAGTCCGCGTGCTCTAAATTCCAACACCCACGAATCTAGTTCTTGCATATGGAAGGCTTAGTTTTAGGGCGAAATAGACTCGTCTAGATAATTTGTTACAATATATATTTTTAAAATTTTAAATTTTAAATTTTTTCATGATGCTCAAGTGGAGATGATTAATGTAAAGGTTTTTCAAAAGTGAAGCTTTATTTATTTTGATAGGGTATATATATATATATATATATGAAGAAACTTTTATAAAGACCAAGTTTTATGAAAATAAAATAAAACCTCTCCTCAAATCTTCATCCAAATACTTTGTGCAAAGAAGATCTACTAAATGTTGGTGTATATCTGTTAATCAAAAATATTTGGGTTTGGGGTTTGGCTTAGAGATGGTCATATGGGCTTAGAGGGCGATCGCATATTCTGACCTTAAAATTTTGTATCAAAGTCAAAACAATGAAGAGGGGCAGCAATAGGGGACAAAAATATTTCTGATAAATTTTTTATTTAACCAAAAATATTTTTTAAAAATAAAATAAGATATATGTTTTCCCCTTAAACTAGGGTGTAAGGTACCTAAAGAATCTATCAAAAATGGTTGTTTTAACACTAGAAAATCATCCCGTTGATTCTCTCAACCTTCAAATTTATTGATATGAAAAAAGGAAAAAACAATTCAAGCCCTAAAAATAGTGTAGCACAACAACCAACAGTCAATTCTTGAAGTTTTCACTTGCAAATCTGCAATCATCTACGTCATTTTCAAAATTTTAAAATTTATCATTACTAGTGGAAATAGAATTTCAAGTCCTTATAAAATTTCCAGAATTGAAACTATATCTTTTGACCAATTTTCAAGATGCAACTCGCATTGATTGTTTAAGGGGACACCTTATATAAACCTCACCATTATTTATTTGCCAACGATTTATTTAAGATGGCAACTTATTTGTAGAAGGCTGCGACGTTTGATACTATCTATTTTAGTTAGAGAGTATAGATTTGGCAAGGCTTTTAAGAAGATATTAAAAAGTGATATCTTTTAAAATATTTTCATACCTAAAAGCTACAACATCCAAATAAAATATAGATAAAATATAGACAATGTAGCTTACTATAACTTTGCTTTAATAAATAAGATCTCGAACTAATATAAATATTTTTTGAGATAATTTGGGAGCTCCCAATTTGAAAACATTTTGCGCACCAGAAAAAAGTTTCTCCTTAGCTGACATTAATAAATAAAAGAGAATTGAGAGTCATGGGCTCAAGGGATCAAATTAATGCCTGGGATATGATATTTCGGCCATGGACCAAACATACAATATGGGTCGACGGTACGACCTATATTTTCCCACCAACAAGGAAACCCAGTTCTGATACGTGGTCGGTGTTTGACTCCTAACGGTGCTATCAAGCTGACGTGGCCGCACGACAATTCGAGTACACACGTATAAGAGATTAAGTGAATCTCTTATAAACTTGTGAACAAACCATCAAAGCTGCCTGCGCAGCACCATGGCCTCTTCTCTCACATCACCTAGCTTTCATGGCCCCTTACTGCAAAAATCACATTTCATAGGCAAAAATCTTCCTTTGCAGCCTCCAATTCTCACTTCTACTACTCCAAAACCCTGCAAATTCTCAGTACAATCAGCTTCAAAATTCAATCTATGGGAGCTCATGGGTGGAAGAGGCCTTTGTGGAGGAGAAGAAAGCCTTGAAAAAGAGCTCAAAAAAGGCATTTCTGACCCAATTTCAGCTCAAAATCACCAAGATAGAGAAACCCAACAAGAAGGTCTTGATGTTTCTCACTCCTCTTTCACTATAAAGGAAGAGGCTTTCGAAAAAGAGCTCTTGGGTCTCACAGGTGGCTTTCCAGGAGGTGAGAAAGGCTTGCAACTCTTTCTTAAGAGAAACCCACCTCCCAAAAAGACAGGGTCTAATGGGGCTAATTTGAATTTCGGGGCTTCAAAGCCGAAAGCTCCTGAATTACCAGTTTTGATGCCTGGTATGATAGCTATAGTGAAGAACCCAAATAACCCATATTATATGTATTCTGGTATTATTCAGAGGATTACAGATGGAAAGGCCGGAGTACTATTTGAAGGTGGGAATTGGGATAAGCTTCTCACTTTTCCTCTTAGTGATCTTGAGAGGAGAGAGAAAGGCCCCCCAATGGTCAGTCCCAAGTCTGCTGTACTTGAGTCTATGGATGAACAGTAAACATCTCACTATAATTGATTGATTTAATTCGTCAATTGGAACTTATCGTGCTTTGTTTTGGTTTCCTCAAGCTGACTTGTTGATCAATGCATTTTAGTGAGTTCCGAATGATTTGAATCATCTAAGAGTTATGTCTTTTTTTTTGGGTAAATAAGAGTTGCGTATTTATTTTCTACATTCTGTAATTATTGGCTATATAACAATTGAAGGATGTTGTATTCTATATTAGAAAGCTCTCTTATCTGGAATTGTAGCATGCGATAGACTTCCATGTGGTGAGTCCAGCTTTGATTTGCTTCCTTAACGGTATTACGGTTTGGATGTTCTCGTAAGAGTTTGTAACTATAGTGCTATTAGCACTTCTTTTTCAATTCTGTGACTAAACACTGAATCTGCACATGGCCTGCCATGAAGAAATCAGGTTATTTTGGAGTTCACCTCTGATCAACCTAACTAATGTACTATGACTGGCAAAGTGGTTACTTAACGAATAGGGAGCGAAATAAACTAGACGCTAGTATTTAGACACCTATGCATTTATCTTATTCTTTGTCACACAATACTTGTGTTTTTTCTCTCCCTGATCCTCACCTAACTGGCTTTTGCATAGCTGTTTATTCATTTAAGGTCAAAGGACATTTTAAGGTCAAAGGACTTCAGCAGTTGAAAGTTTGATACAAAATTGGCTTTACTAATTTTATGCAGGGTGGTAGAGATGCATATGACTTGATTCAAGTAAAGATGGGATCTACTCAGTTCAAAGTTAGGTTTTAAATTGTTCAATTAACTGCTACCTACTCATGAAGAAATTAGCTTGAACGTCAACCAACCCTCGATAAATGTTAAAAATATATATATGCCGAGTCTTTTGCTATACCAAGATTTTTTTGCTGGCTGCATATGTATCGAGAATTTCTCATGATTAAATATCTTAGTTCTTGTGACTATGAAATTAGTCATAAGTTCTACAACGAGAAAATTCATCGATTGAAAGAATTCAAAGTCTCCTAGCTGGCTGTGAAGGCTCTGGAGATATTTCTTGATGCTTAATCACTGTGGAATTCAGATCTGTTCTCTGTAGTTCAGTACATCATGAAAGTCATTTATCCATCATTTCACTTGCTGAACTCAATGAAATCATACCTGTAGACCTCTCTAATGTTAAACAAAGATCTCCCATATTGATATAATATATTTGATTTCCATGCCTATGTATACTTAAGATTCATTTTAGTATTGGATAGTTAATGACCATGTCCATAGCTCGACAGGCCATATTATCTTTTTGGGAAATTTATGCCTTTTCTAACCGAACTATAAACTGTATTCATCACTTTATAGTACATAAATATTGTTTCACAACAAATTTTAGCATACGAAATAAATAAACATAAATGAAGGGAAAACTAGGTTGAGTGTCTACGTGAAGGAGTCTTACAGTGTCTACGTGAAGGAGTCTTACTTTTGGTCAGTATTGTTAGAATTCAAGGACCCTGCTGAAACAGGAGCCCTAATATCAGGATCCCATTAGGATCGTGTACTTAACCAAATAGGAACAAAATACGAGTACAAACCATGATATAAGCATTGGAAATAAAACATAACACAAATACACAATAATAACAAAAAGAATTACGTGGCTCACCCAAAGGGTTATATCCACGGGCATGATAAACCGAAATCCACTCTATTGATAAGAATTATATCACATGTTTATTTTGGGATACAAAGTTCCTCTCTAACCCTCAACAAAATCTAGTCTGGCAACCCTTTTAGACCAGCTCTCTTGACGAACATCACTCGCTTGTATCCTATCTACATTCCACAACTACTGTCAAGGAAGAGAACCTTTAGAGCAACTAAAACTCTCTCATTAAAAGAGATACAATCCAAATCTCCATGGTAACCACTTCTGTATAAGAAATCAACCTCTCCTTTTGTAGGAGGCCCATTGTAGCGTTTCTTTCTCTAAGAAGCCCACTTCTCTCTGTGCAGAGGCCTTTCCCCTCTCTGTAGGAAGCGCCTACCTCTCTTTCTTTAGAGGAAGCCACATTACCCATATGGTGATCCCAAATAGGGCACATGAGTTCTTTCTTTCTCATTCCACTGATATATATATATTAGGAATCCATGCCAAATAGGAGACTTCAATGGATTTTAACTAATTTAGTAGACCTTAACCATATCAATTCCTTTTGACATGAGATTCCTTATGCTGATGATTTTGGATATCACCATATGTAACAAATATTTATTTGAAGAAACTTTGGTTTTAAATGAATCACCAACGCAAAACCTTGAACATGTAAAGCACTTCAAAATCATATCTAAATATATCACATAATTCTTCAGTAATACACATTTGTGACACCTCCTTATATCTAATTGTTCTTTTTCCAGTTTTATAAAGTAAAATAAACAGGTTAAATCAACTGATTTTGACCCTAAGGGCCATCATCTAGTCCAGATGACCCTAAGCACATGACACATGTTTCCTGTTGAACTGTTTTTTTTTTTGGGTAAGTGCCTGTTGAACTGGTTGAACATGTAAAGTTACTCTTTTTCCTGTACTTTTGCTCAATTCTTTTACCAGCCAGTGGTCAGTTGTTGAACTGGTTTGCTCTGGTCCTGCCCCTTCTATGATTCAATGGTCGGGTCCTTATAAAGTTGACTTAAACTACCCTACAGTCTAATATACAACCATCAAAACTTATTGAGCTTGATTATTTGATTATTCACCCTTTCTAGATAGATCACCACAAGTATATATGTTCATGCACGACAATAGCATCAGACTCCGTTCATTTATAGCTTAATTGGTAAGTAAAGTCTCATCACATCATGTATCTTAGTTCCCAAAACCTTGTCCAAATTTTTGAGCAAGTCTGTGTCTATCAATACATAATATGGCTCAACCTTCAAGCTTGATTACACACCAGGCCGCCGCAAAACACCTGGAAAAACATTATATGATCCATGCATTCATAGTAACAACCATGGCCATTTTATTTGCCACTTGGTTTGATGGTGATGGAGATAATGTACAGTCCTACCACTACTTGAATCTACAGTGGGAACCAGTCCCTTCCATCATTGCCCAGCCTATTGATGGGTCGTGATAACCTCATGGTAAGGGTGTTACTACCATGAGGTTATAATGACCATATAGATTGTCTAGTATGGATTCAAGACAAGATACTGGGTATTGCACCAGTAGCTTGTACTTGTAACCGATCTAGCATCACCTCTCATACTTGAAAATTAGACAAAATTGATACTTCAGAAAAAGTATACCATACGCCATTTGTATGTTAGTTTCAATTTAAAAACTATTGGTTCACAAAATGAAAAGGCAGAAGGAAAAAAAAAAAGAAAAAAAAAAAAAAAGGTTGATAAATATATCTAAGAAGGAAATACCTATGAATAAACTGGAAAAGTTTAAAGAACAAGCAAAAATTTCTCTAAAAAATTGCGAAGGGGCTTAAATTTGTGTGTGTTATCAAGAAATAGGAGAATCAAGACTACACTTTACTAGAATGAATTTTGTATCCGACTTCTAGAAATTTTGAAAATGACTTCTTTATACTTTTCTTTATCAAATTTCTTTACATTGCTTACCTCAGGGACAGGTTATTACTTGAGTATGAGTAGCTGCCAGTTTTGTTAATTTTTAGAGCAAAGATCCAGTTGTAAAATCATATAGTTTTAATAGTCAAAGCTATCCAAGATATTTGCATCTCCTGCATGGTCAGAGGTCATCCGGTCTGCTTCAATATTTTTTTAATCTCATTTGCCCATACCCTCCCCAAATGGCACCCAAACTTAAAAAGTCGTATTTTTTTAAAAAAAATTAATTCTTACTCTTGAGACATGAGAAGAATGCAAACAACTCCGATAAAATTCAGTAGCATTCATATAAATATTGTTTTTGTCAAATTTTGAGCCCAAAATCACGAAGGATTAAGAGAAGATATACTTATCAATGCATGTGATGGCTAATGCTTCATTATCATCATTATTATTATCATGTTATTGTTGTCACTTCTGTTACAATTATTATTGTTGTCATTGTTATTTTGCCATTGGTTAAGGTCACATTCAAAACCCAAATCCTGGTGTTTAGGAAATGCCGGCTTCCTTAACTTATTAAAGAAAAGTTAAATAGCTTTATTTTCTTTAAGTGATTTGTGTATAGTAAAACCTTATTACTATAACAGCATGTACATGCATCATCCTAGGGTGACATATATAATGCATAATTCTACTAGTCTAACATATTTACCATGCTCTCTGCTCTTGTTTCTACAGTAAGGCCGAAAAGTGACAATATTTTAAAGGGAAGAGTCTGAGCTTTTCTGACAATCGCCCATTACTGCTCTTATAAGCGTGAAATTTGAAAGATGGATATGTCTGGCTTTTTCAGACTTCTTTTGGGGAACATTTAAAATGCGACATTATTTCTTGTCTTTGATTTATTTTTCCTTTTCTGGTTTTTAATTAGGCCACTTCTCTATTTTTTGCAAAAGAAAATGAAGGATGATAGAATTATACTGTAATAGTTTGGAATTTACTCATGTGTTAACCGCAATTAACCCCACAATCGGCATGCTGCCTGGGAAAACATCACGGATCACAGAGGCATCTCTTTCTTTCTTCTCAAGTTCTTATTCTTCTTCTTTTTTTGAATCGACAACTGAATTTTAGTAAGTTAACATGATATACTGTGAGCTTTGTATCTCTGCCTTCGCAAAATTGAGCCTCATATACAAAGTCGATCTGTGCAAAAAGCAACTACAGAGATATCTATTTTTCTGTACCCGTTACCTAACCCCAAGCTGAAGGAAAAGAGCGAGAGACATGGAGAAGAATCTCTTAGACAGTGTTAGGTTTTTCATTTTCTAACAATTCCAGCCCAGCCGAAAGATGTTTGTACAATGTTTGTTCCTTAGATTTTTTAACTGATCCAATTTCTGAGAGAGAGAGACATGGCATCTTTCCTGAGAGAGATATGACATCTTTCCTAACACAACTAAGGCACAATATAATAATCAAACACATCTTTCCAAACACAACTCACTAAGGCACAATATAATAATCAAACACATTTTCTCATGGGGGACCACAGTCCCCCAGACTAGGCTTGGAAGGGACCCAATCCCCTTCTGGAAAAAGGCTTTGAGGCTTTCGACAATCAATTGGTGGTCCAAGGAGTTCACCAACTTATCACACAAAATCCAATAAGGAAGAGTAGACAAAAAACCAGTCCAAGAGGAAGAGGAACAGTAATTAAAAGTCGGTTACAGTGGAGCAAGCTCTTCCCTCTAATACTTGACAGTAAAAAATACACCCATCTTACGAACTTTATGGCAAGATCACATGTTCATCTCCTTGTCTTATTGTTCTTGCCATTCCCTGAGCCATTTATAACCTTTAACTTTTAAAGTAATACACAACCTTGAAGTTTACAAAGATTCCCCTTGTATTTTCAAAAATTATTTTCAGAGGATAGGTTAACATGAAGCCTAGGCTTTACACTAAAAAGTAAAAACCCAACTAAAAGGCACAGGTTACTCGGCTCTTACAATATATTTTTGCCCTATTATAAATTTTTAAGCTCCAAATATGATACAGATCTGCAATATGTACACACTTAAAAATAGAGTGCAGATAAGATGGTATAAGATGCACTATTTTTAGGTTTCGAAATCCTTTCTTATTCATAACTATAATTATTGAGGGCCAGATGACCAATTTAAGGGTTTTCTTATACCCAAAACTGCATTTTCCATTAAGGATTTGAATTATGGTTCTACTTTTTATTACAAATCCGAGGCCTTATGCAAGGTTTTCCTTTTTCAAAAATAAAGAAAAATAAAGTATTTTAAGTTATAAAGAGCACGCAGAGCATAGCATGCTATTGTTGGAGAGCACACATCTACTCACCCCTAACTAGGGTTTTACCAAGAGAGTGAATGTAGGATATGGTCCGCCTGGTGCATAACATTTTGTTACAAAACTAAAAGGTCGCGATGCCCTTTAAAACTACCACACGTTTGAAATGAATAATAGCATAATACAATAATTGTGTAAGCATATTGAACTTGGGTACCAATAAACGAACAGAGTAGCCAACAGGTTATATGCTACTGCAGCTGTACGATATCTAAGTAGAGTGAACTTGCCTATCCCGTATCGACAAATGAACAGCCAAGGTTATATGCTCCCGCGGGAGCACTTCGTCCTCGGATAGTAGTGACTTGGCATATAACTAATGAGTGTGTTCTTGTGAATACAAAGGGCATTACGTCCCTTTTGTTGCATATTAGCCGGTGGATGTTCACTTCTTTCTCGCCAAAATATTTTATGCTCCCTCGGGAGTCTTGCTGCCCATTCACTCCCTTGGGTAAAACCTACTCTAGGATTAATTTTAAGACTCCAAATTCTGGTGATATAATATCTTCAATCAAGAGAGTAACCTCAATAAAAAAAATTCATGGTTGTACTCCTATGCATTTGAAAAAATATCCCAAGCAAAAATCATCCAGTTTTTAAATAATGAGATCTAAAATTCAAAATTCAACTTTTCTTTTGATAATAAGTATCTAGAGATTTCTAATTGGATCCCTACATTTCATATTGAAAAGGTCCCTCCAATGTAAGTCTCCTTATCGAGGGAATATATGAACACTACGTTCCTGCAGAAACACAATACGCATGCTCTTCTTTGCTGGTTGGATCTTGTCAAACTCCATGGACCCAACGTCGTGAGAGTACCCCTTTGTGGTACGATTTAGTCACTTTTTCTTCATAATTAGAGGGGTATGTTTCTGTTCTAAGATCACTCTTTTTGTCGCAAGATTGAGTCACTTTTCCTACATAATTTGATTCGAAGTTACAACCTTTTTGCTTTCACGAAAATAAAACGACGAAGCTTCTATAAGACCCCGGCTTTATGAAAACAATATAAAGCAGGAATCTCTTTTCGGAAAGCACTTTAGACAACGGAAATCAATTTTTAACATCAATTATGAAATTTACGATTTAAAAAATAATATAGATCTTGCTTATCCATTACCACTTACTTTTAAGATAAAATAAATGATCCAGATAATAGCTATAACATACGTGTTTTTTTAAGGCTTGAAATCCTTTTTTCCTCCGCAACCATAATGTTGGAGAATAAAGTGATCAATTTGAAGATTATCCAATGCCATAATTACTATTTTTGATGAGTTCTAAGGCGATACTTATTTTGGTACGATTGTAGCCCTATAAGACCATTTTCTTTTACTAAAATATGAAATTAAGATGGGTGGCCTGCCTAAAAAATCCAACCTAAAAATGTGACTTCCCATCTAGATCGCCGAATTTTTAATTTCATGTAAACGAAAAAACATCATAATAAATCATTATAGGCCTAGCCCGACGTGGCATCCGATTCTAACACAAAACCGGCTCTTGCGGTCACATTTACAAACACGGTAACACAAGTAGAACAGCACAAAACCGGCTCTTGCGGTCACGTCTACATACACGGTAACACAAGTAGAACAACGGGCGGACCTCCAACCAGTTATCATGTTATGGCAAACCCAAATAAACCAGAATTAGAACCCAAGTAACAATAATTATAAAGAGAGACCCATCACCATAATGATACAACAATTGAATGAATGGATAGCATGACATCCAATCAAATTATTCCCTCGCACACAACAAGAGAAAAAAAGCCGGAAAACCAAATACTCCTGCCAGCACTTGCCGGCAAACCCAACTGTCCGGCCACAAAAAAATCCAGCATTAATTCTTCTTAGGAGCAAGCCTAGCCTTTATCTTCTCCACCTCTTTAGTCCCCACTTGAAAAGCCTTAGCCAAGACATCATCGGGCACCGGAGGCATCGCCGTGAACAAATTCAGGGCAATCGACACAGTCCCGGGAAACTGGCTGTTAAATGCTGCAATGACCGCTGCCGGGACCTCGCCGTTATTCCTTTGAAAGTGCACAAGGCCTCTCGGGAACACGAAGATTTCACCTTTCGTTATAGTCTTCGACACGAAAACTTCAGTCGAAGTGATGAATCCAACGTCAAGGGCGCCTTGGAGGACAAAGACGATTTCGGTGGCGCGGGGATGGGTGTGAGGGGGGTTCTGGCCACCCGGGGCGTAGTCAATGCGAGCCATGGACACGCCGAGCGTGTTGAGGCCTGGGATTTGATTGACATTGGCAGGGGTCACAAGTGAGCCCTGTGTGTTGTTGGTGAGCCCGGGATTCTTGAGGCCGGCGAAGAAGAAGTCGGCCGCATTCGGCTTTGCAGAGTCCTTGCAGACGAAGCCGTTCACTTTTACGGCTGCAGGCGAAATGCCACTCCAATTTGTTAGAAATTAAATTTGATTTATTTGGGATTCCCTTGATTTTTTTGGGAGATCTATCGTGAGAAGAGATGATTTCTCTTGGAAATTAAGCTTTATTTTTTTGGGATTTTTGTTTGTTATGATTAGTTGTGATTTGAACCAACTTACCTACTCCTAAAAAAATGGTATTAGACATTCTCATGAAAACCCCATTTTGTGTGCTTAAATGATCTCATTTGGAAATCATTATTTTTCAAGAATAATTGAACTCTTTTAAGAGAGTCATTTTTACGTAAAGGCAGCTTCTACCGTGTTTTCTTAATTCAAAGCACCATGATTTTACAAACTGAAAAAATTATAGTAAGATAATATCAAAGCACGAAATTTGGAATCAGAGCCAAAATTGGATGGAGGAGAGAAATGACCAAAATGCCCCATTCAAATTTTTTTTTTTTGTTAAGTGCCATTCAGCAATACTAACTAGAGTCTAGGAGAGGGAAAGACTCCACCTAGAATATCAAATACCAGGCTCCAACTAAAATACTAAAGGAGTTAAAGCAGCAGACGTGATTAGAAGTCAAAATTGGACGCAACAGAGAAATGACCAAAATGCCCCGTTCAGCAATTCTAGAGAGAGGGAGAGAGAGATTCAACAATACTAGAGAGAGAGAATCATTGACCTGCCTGGTTGAGCCATGTCCTTTTATTAAAACCATGGCAGAAAAGTTGATAGAAGATGGTTGCATCTAAATATGCCCTCATCAATCACGTTTCCCATAGAGAGAATCACTAATTACTAGAGAGAGAGAGAGAGAGAGGCAGCAACAACAATATTAGGAATTAAGCAGTCACGCCCCTGTAGAAAGGCCTTAAATATAGAGAGAGAGAGAGACACACACACTATTAAAACGATATTAAGAGAGTGTGTGTGAAGGCCCTGTATGCAGGCCCAAAATTTACACAGAGAGAGAGAGAGAAAGAGAGGGGTTCGTATCTCTGTTCAATCAAATGGTCCAGATCACAAGCAAATTGCTATTTCTAACAATTTGGTCCCTTGATCCTAACCGCCAACAGCCAAAACAAAGCAGAGCATCAGAAAAACAACCAAAATAAGATTACCTGACTTCAAATCAGCGATGCAAAGGTCCTGAAGCATATCAGGATCTGAAGCGAAGACGCCCAAACTTAGAGAGAGAAAGAGAAATAAAGTCCTGAAAAATAAGGGCACAGCCATTGAAGCTTCAACCTCTCTCTCTACCAAAAAAACACAGTACAGAAAGGAGGAGGAGGAGGAGGAGGAGGAGGTCTGTCTTTTTCTCCGTACTTTGTCTCTCTCGCCACTGTGTGCTCGTGTTAAACATCGGTGGAATGTAGTGTATTTATAGGTACCAAGGGTGTCATCGTTGGTTGCAGCACGTGTGAGCCTTAAGCACGGTGCCGAAGGTGGACATTCCCACGGCTCGACAATGAGGTTCTGCCTATCTTAAATGGACGGCCAGGATTCCATGGATGTGTGGTCCACCGTAATATCCGATGGCCGTGAATAGAAGGTGCAGCTGTCCGTTGCTTGTAGGTCCAATGCCACGTGTACGGCAACGGATTAGGCTTCTATATGGAGAGATGCTTGTGAAATTGGAGTCCACTACATAGGCTGATAATTTTTCTCAAAAGATATTGTACTCCACTAGGAGTATACTATATATTTACTTCCCTAGAGTAAACCCATTTAGGATTGATTTTTGGATCCTAATTTTGTGGATGTAACCTTTTCAACCCATAGATTAGCTCAATAAAAACATTTCTAATTACACCTTCTATGCATTTGGAAAAAAATATTTTTTTAAGATTGAATAGAGACCATCTAATTTTTAGAGATTGAGATCTAGAAAACTCAAATTTTATTTTATTATGTTGAGAATAATTATCCAGTTATTCTTTGGGTGGTTTCCAAAATTTAAGATTAGAAAAAAGGATAATTATCCTGTCCACAAAATGGTTGAGATTTTACAAAGTCATATCCAACAGCAAAAAAATTAGTCTCTTAATTTTTAATTTTTATTTAAATAATATTTTTATCCTGACTTTAGGGTCTGGTGTATTTTTATAAATATAACTAAATAAAACTGATAAAAATTATATTTTAAATAAAAAATAACTAAAATATCCCTAAACTTATTTTGATCAATATTTCTCATTAAAAAAAATTATTTATTTTTATTCAACTTTAATTATCAATATGAAGCTATAGCCCAATTTTTATATTAATATCAATTTTAAATAAAAAAACAGAAAACCTCAATTTTAGCCCTCAAATGACAATGGTTCAATTTGAACCATTAAAAGGTGCACAAGTGCTAGTGTGCCTTGTAAGTGTCGGACGAATCACCCTTTAAGCAGGTCTTCTAACTGATGGAGTAGATACACACTATATGTTCTAGCAGGAGCACAATACAGTTTCTCTGATTTTTTGTTGGGGAAATACTCTGCCTTTGATATTTATGCTTGCGATGTCATCCTCTGCTCAAAAGGCGAATAACAATTTTAAATATGGGAAAAGTTTATATACAGCCGAGGCTCTAAACAATCGAATTTGAGCCTACCTCAAAAATTTCCTTAGAAGAGGTTGTTTAGATGCTCAAATATCTTCAAATTAATCATCTCGACATCAAGATGCATGGATATGAGAAAAAAATAGATTGCAAGTTTTGGAAATAATGTATTTTGTAACGCTTTTTTGGACCGTCAATTTTCAAGATTTTCAAGCTTTCATAGATATTCCGATCTACATTATTTTTTAAACTTTAAACTTTATAAATAAATATAAAAATATACTTTAAGGCTATCACAAATATTTCCAATATTGAAACCGCATTTTTCGACATTATTTGAACGTAGGCTCTAATTTGATTGTTTAGAACCTAGGCTTTACACGAACCGTACCCTTTAAATATTCATGCAAAGGGTGAAATGTGTATTGGAAGTATATCACTGAGAATGTTTATCTTTTGCTACAAGAAGATCACAGTTACTGTTAGCCGTTAGATGGGAATCTGATGGTTAAGAATACGACAAAGTTTAAGAATATTTTTTCTTTGGATTTTAAACTAATTTTTTTTCTTTGGACTTTAAACTAAGAATGATTGTGACATTCTCGTACCAAATTATAAACGCTTCCATGTGTACTCTAGGAGCGAGAATTAAAATGTGGAATACATAGGGCTTGAATTGTTGAATGCTGGGGAAAAGAAGTTAAAAGGCATATTAAATTTCATAATCTAATGGGCATTATGGGAAAATGGGTTTGCAGTATATAACTACTATCACATTAATTAGGGCAAATATAGAAAACTTGCCCTTTTTACTATTTAGGATTTTGCGAAAAGGAAATCATAACCATGAGGGTGTTTCCGTAGCCTAGTGGTTTCTCTCCCTTTAAGCGATAGCACTTGGGGAACTACCACCCATTTTTGTCAATTTGTTGCAAATATTTGAAAAGTACATATATATATTTTTTATATTGTAGTAGTGTAAGGAGAGTTTTAAGGGAAGTGAAATGACTTCATGCTCTTGAAGGAGTATGCGTTCTATTTGCTCAGTCTTGGAGTACAAGGGCATGAACGTAATAAAGCAAAAGAAATCAAATGGCACACTCTATCTGCTTGAAAACGGCTATGTATCATACTGATCAAGATAAGACTATTTTAGAGGATTGAATAAAAATATAAAAGAACTTGAGGCTTAAATTTTTCATGAAAATAATCATTATCTGATTCTTAAATGAATCCAAAAATTTTAGATTAAAAAAATAAAAAAAATTCTGAGGTTAATCTTTTTTTCTGAGGGAGTAATTCTACAGTATGATCCTGCTATAGACGCAACCGGAGGATGGAAGGCGTAAATTATTGACACGTTTGGTTGCGAATATAAAATTTGGGGTGAAGGGCCCCTCTCCTTCTGCGTGTGGTCCTCTCTTCGCTCTGCTTTTACTATTTTTGTTTTTCTTTTATAAAAGATTCCTTAGACTAACGAGAAATAGAAACAGCAGCAAACAAAAAAAAGCAAGCGAATGTGTGCATCATGCAAGAAAATGAATAGGAAAGGGATAGATAAAAACCGGCCTTATGATTGAATAAATATTATTAAAAATAAATTGAGTTGCCACAAGATTAGGTTTAGCGCTCAAACCCTAGCTTTTACTACCTAAATTGATCAAATAAAATAAAAATAATTTAATATATGATAAAAAATAAAATAGAAAAAAGGTCGATGATTCGTGCTTGTAACTTCCCTGGCTAAGTTCGGATGGAACTATGGATTATCAGATGTTCTTGATGTCCCTAAAATTTTAAATTTTAGGTAAGATTCCATTGAAGTGTTAGGTAACCCAGTTGAGTTAATTAAATCAAAGTATTAATATGGTCCTCTGGTTATTTAATCTAGGAATATCCATTAGCAAGATGTCTGGCCATTTTATAACAAAGTATTGGTGCTAGCCCTAAACTCAAGCAATGGTACAAGGGGAATATAACAGTCAAAAGTACGTGTTCAAGAAGTTGGACTCGGGCTCTAGCGCACCCGAGCCCTATTATATGACTCGGGCGAGTCTTTTTTTTTTTTTTCCTTTTTCTTTTTTAAATTTTAACCCAGAGTAATTTAGCTCTTGATTCGGGGGAAATCCTGGGTCGACAGGGCAATTTTTAGGTTTGGGTTGGGGAGACTCCATTTTATGTGAACTCCATACATGCAAATTGCACATATATCGTATGGACCATAATCATATCGGTAAACTATGTTATGATATAATTATTGTTGGCTAGGGGTTTATCCTTGATCAAGTTTGATGGATGGGAGGTTAGACTTCACTTCTTTTTTTTTTTATCTCATCCTTTCACATACAATAATATTTCCCATGTGAGGTCCTCTTTCACTTAGGGCTTCACCTCCAGGCAATTAATCCCTTAAAAAAAAATTGGTAATCTTGGTTAAGCTCAACCCTAGATCTATCTAGACGCTCACTAAGGTTCAATGATGGGTGGTGATAATTACCCTTCCAGTCCATCTCAATCAAATCCATAATGAAGATTCCTCTCTCACACCCACACATACACACTTTTAAGTCAGATTGGACCGGGAGGTTGTCAATTTTAGGTTATAAAACTCTAGAAGAGCCCAAATTTACCGATTTTCTCACTTTTCTTCAAGAATTTCACAAGTCCGACCAAGAAATCAAATATGTCGAATTTGAGGTTGGTTCCATTTTTTTCAAAATACTGACCTCTATGCTATTATCCTAACTTTTTTACCGTGGGAGAAATATGTTATTAGTAAACTCATTTCCGATTCAATTTTGATGCTCCTTTAAGAGAAATATGGGCTCGAAGCGGTAGTACCCACCGGATCCCCACCCCATTCAAAGGTCTCAACCTCTTTTCTCACTGACATTCAAAGAGAGAAAGAGGGCTTAGGAGTACACATGGGTACACAAATAAATACAATCGACTCAAAGGTTTTAACCTCTTTTCTCACTTACATTCTATCTTAACATCTTTTCTCACTGACATTCAACCAGAAAGAGGAGTACACAAATAAATGCAATCGTGCGAATGAGCTACGAATTTGAGAGGGAGAGAGAGAGATGTAGATCTGCTGTGACGGTGGGAAAGGCGTAGGTATAAAGAAATCTGTCTAACTGCTTCCCTCGCAAGTGACAAGCCACCACTAGTCAACCATGAACGACCATTATTTTCAGGTAAAGGCTAACCATCTCTCTACTACTATTCACATCATTCTAATCTAATATTCCTTTCTCATTAGACTATCTATAAAATAATTTATTGACTTTCATTTGATGTCTTGCCTCGAGCCCCAAGGTGCGCAACTTGCTCGACTATGTTAAAGAATCGAAATAAGGTGCTTCTCCAAATTGCGTTGAAAGACGTCTAATATTAAAAATAACTTCAAAAGGTTATTTTTACTTTTAATTATGAAACTAAAAGCTCAAAAAAAATAGTGCAAATCAAGTATATTTATAAACAATTGGAAATTTAAATAATAGGCGGCTTAGATAATGATTTACTATATTTTTAAGAGTATAAACCAGCGTTTTAAAAAACGCCGAGTCGAACCGGACTCGCCCGGTTCAACTCGGAAATCGTGAAACGGGGACCGGATCGCCTAAAAATCGGAAATCGTCCGGTTCTAGAGAGAACTGGACGATTCTGTACAGT